GTAAAAATAAATAATTCTGCAACATTCTTGATTTTCATAAAACAGACTGATCTATTAATTGTTAAAAAAAGATATTATTACATTTGCTTGTTATTTTAATCTAAATTGTTAGTTAATTTTACTAACAATTTAGATTAAAAATATTGTTGATTATGTACAATTCTAGTGTTTATTAAATTGTTTTAAGCTATGAATTTTATATTTTAAATACAAAATTAAATATTTATATTTAATTTTATACTTTAAATATTTATATATTTATTTTATTTTATTAATATTTAACGTAATATAAAGAATAAATTGTTTTCGTTATGTATAGTTTCTTAATATTATTCAGGTGTAAGTTGGCTCAAATTGTTCAACATTTGTTTACTCGTCTACAAAATAAACTTGTCACGAGTAACGATCCGTTTGTCTGTCTGTTAGATGTTTGCTGCCTCATCACGGGAAAACGCCTGAATATATTTTAACTACACTTCATATTTTCAATATGTCCATTCAAGAGAATGTATAAGCACACATAGGTCTGGAAATCGTTATTATATAAACTAAAGTTTAGGCCCACCAGTGGCCAAGCGGTTTTTGTTCCACGAACACTGCGAGTGCGAAAAACTCCACGTCACTGGCCACGTGGAGTTTTTCGGGTTTTCTCTACGTCTGTAACGCCTAAATAGGGGCAAATTTTCCTTAAAAACACATCCCAGAAGGCGTCCCCCTAAACAGATCGCCCAAGTGTTGCGTTGCCATAACTAAACAAACTAAACTAAACTAATCTTTACCAGTTTTATGTGTGTCTCTTCATCTCTGCTCCCAAGAGAGCAGCACATCACATATCACTCAGCAGCTGCACGTCCCAACAAAATCACGAGCAATGGACATGCTCCAATATTTAATAAAACATAGGGAAATATATATACACCTTGTGTTGACATAAATATAATAACAAATTTAATTAATTTTAGCTTAATTAAAGTGAGACAAGATATTTTAGATTAATCCTTTAAACACTTAAGAATACATTATAAGGTAAATGCAACTAATGGCTTTAAAATTCAATAATTCAAGCAACAACACAACGTTGTATATACGATATTATTAATGTAAATTTTGTTTTTCAGATGATGGATAATTCCATTGAAGTCTCCAAGTATAAAGGACAATTCGAACCGCTTTATGTTGAACAATATCTATCAACATATATGAATTTTAAGCTTATTGATTGTTTTTCCCCATATGCCATACATATATCAGCTATTTACATTATAGTCATCTTCTCTCTGCAATATTATATGAAGTCCAAGCAACCGTATCATCTCCGTGGACCACTTTTCCTCTGGAATACTTTATTGGCATTATTTAGTATTTGTGGAACATTAAGAGTGCTTCCTGGATTTTTTATCATTATTCGTGATTTTGGATTTACATTTTCTGTGTGTAATATCAGTTTTGCTTTAAAACATCACCCGTTTGAATTTTGGGTTTCTCTATTAGCATGTTCAAAAATAATTGAAATGGGAGATACATTATTTATCGTCTTTCGAAAACAGAAATTAATATTCTTGCATTGGTACCATCATAGTTTAACTTTGATTGTAACATTATACAATATTTCGGGAAAAGTTTCGACTGGGTATTGGTATTGCTCAATGAACATGTTGGTTCATAGCTTCATGTATTTATATTTTGCTGCAAAAGCAATAAAAGTAAAGGTGCCTCGTTCTATTGCAATGATAATTACAATAAGTCAAATTCTTCAAATGATCATCGGTTGTTTTGTTACTATATGGGCTGTAAATCGGTATTTTACAGGAAAATACTGTGAACAAACTGATCAGCTAATATTTTTATCATTGTCTGCATATGCTTCTTATACTGTATTGTTTTTTCGTTTATTCATAAATACATACTTAAACAGAGGACGTAATTTAACTGTGCAGCAGCGAAAAGATGACTGATTGAAATTTGCTGTGATTGCAACTTTTAATTCTCGGAATAATTTTAATAATTAAAAAAAAACAGATTTGAGATTATGTTTATTTAAATGTTTTTAAGAATGGTATTTACTATAATTTTGTTCTTAGTTGCAGTAATGTAGTATAATAGAAAAAAAATTATTTGTGTTATATTTTAAATGAAAGTAAACTTTACAAATAATATATATTCATTATATATATGGTAGATTTATGTATATTAATTTATGTACCACTTGGAATTAAACATAAATTAAAGCTATTTTGTGTTTAATTATTTTCGTATAGTTACTTTTAGTAACTAATATGTTTGCGCCATCGGTTTTCTATTACTAAAAATATTTTTATATTATTATTTATCTTAATTTTAAAGCTAGAGATGAGTTTCATAAAAAAAATTGTAGATGTTAACAATAAGTAAGATATTCATTACGGCCGCACGCCATTAGAGATATGACATATGACCTTTCCTGTATTTCTCTACCCCTTGACCTTTAAGTACTAAAATGTAATAGTATTACTTTCTTTAATACAGAAACCCCCCTGCAAAGTTTCACGAATTTTCGACAGAAGCTTCAGCAGTTATTAGTCTTTAAAATGGGTTAACAATATCGTGTTTCCCCACACACTAACATTCTTCAGGAGATGTTTGAACGTCCTCTGAGTCCAAAACTGTAAAATTCTTGAAAGAGGTAAAATTTTTAACCAGTTGCCATACTTTTTCTCTGTTATATATAACCAGAAAAGTAAAAAATGATGCAATTTATTAAATACTATTTTTAGAATTTTTGGCTTATATGTGATATTAATTATATATATATATATATTTCGGCCAACATCACTAATACAAACTTTCTTTTTTAAGACTTATTTACGTAACTAATGATAATTACTCATTGACACTGCTGATCAGATTAGGAAGTATGTTTGTGAATAAGGAAATTCCAAAATAGGATATTGATTAAAAACGGATATTGACTCATCTACACCTAAAAATAATAAATTTCCAAAGTTTATTTTATAATACAAAATCTTTTAATATAAATTAAATACAAATTATTTGTACATCAACAATAAATATACATTTTATGAAAAAGTGTAAACAAGTAGATCCGGGTTACACTCAAGCTATTAATATGTAACCAACGAATGATTAAACAACGTAATTAGAGTTGTTTACTTCACTTATGCTACTTATCGAAATCTGTCCGATCTTCTCTTGTATTAAATTAGCTTATAACAGGTTTAATTAATCATATAGGTCTCGTCATATGGGTATATTTAACATTCCAGACTCTTCGTGACCTTCACTGTGTTATGGTATTGTATACAATAGCGGATCCTGAAATATGCCTAAAAATATTTTACTACCTAATCTACCTGACCTTACTCGGAAAAAACGCTTAGAAGGGGTGCAACTGCTCTTGCACACTCTCCTAAATTCACCTCCTGGCAGTATTACATTATCTTGCATTGGCATGTTGTATGGGGTGAATTCATTTCTATTAGGACAATTGCTTCTTGTTTTAACGAACAGGATAAAATTAATTAAATTTTAAATATTTATTTTGTCTGTTAAATTTTTTAAACATTTTTAAAAATTAATTTAGCATGAAATGTTTCGTAATAACTTCATATAATTATAAAAATCCGGAAAAACAGTTTCATTATATCCGTACAGTGTCAAGCGACTAAACGACCTATGAAAGTGTGAGATAATATAAATCTATCTCAAGACATTATCATATTATTCATATTATCGTATATCACAGTAAGTATAAATTGAAATATTTGTAAATATATTAGTTATATTAAGTCGAGTTTTATTATTAGAACTGTTTAATTGTTTATATAGACTATTTAATTCATAAGGACTCCGAACACTTTCGGAGTGTTACTAACTTGAACTTTTAATAATTTTTTTTTTGTAAAATGCAATTAGCTAATTGATTTACCAAGTGTAATTAAATCCTACATTGACAAGATAGAATTAAAATTAGAAAGAATTTGTTCGTTTTGGATTATTTTCTCATTCTTCAGGATTATTAATACAATAATTACTTTTTACTAAATTATATTAATTTTTGCGTCTAAGTGTTCCTGTTATCTTACAGACTATATTGACATTTTTTATATTATAGCAGAATTATGCAGTAAAACATTAATAATAAGCAAGCAGAGAAGATGTAATTAAGGATTTTTAACTGTGTTGAATCTTGTTGTACAAGTTCTCCGTTCACCTGTAAGAGATATGATACAGATACAAGGCGTACAATAGCTTGTAGCAAAGTACTTGTATAACGACATGTTATTGATACAATAAAAAATACTCACGACAGTTAGCTTATAATTTGTTACTAACTTTTTATTCAACATATTTTGCTTGTAATTTGTAACTTATAAAGCTTGTGACAATTAAAAGCGTTGTATGCAATAGAGCTGTTGCTGTATTTTGTTAAAAATTTCGGCAACTTTATGCTAATTCTTTAGTTCTACTGTTAAAGTAACTTAAATTCTTTTATTTTTATTCAGACTCATGCTTTATCTGTAAAAAAAAACATAAATAAAGATGAATGTAAAACCCACATGGGCTGTATTATTGTAATACAACAACAAAAATTATTAGGAATTTGAAAATTTTGGGCGCAAGGCTGATCCGAAACGGGACAGAACCCGCGCTTGAAATCTATAATTGTAATCCAACAGATAATTTTGAAGTATAAACTTGGCGATTCATTTGGTTTAAATACATTTTTAAATTTTCTACACTTGACTATTACCATGCACTGTACTCTTGTAACCATTCAACAAGATTGCTGTGTTATTTCCGGACATATCTTCATGCATTCTTACATTACAAGCCATTATTTAGCCATAAGAATTTAGAGAATCTTTATTATATTCTTCGGAAAACACAAATTGCATTGACTATGTATTCTTTAATTAAGGAATAATACGTTAATTTAGTGTTTACAGTATGTAAAGAGTAAATCATGAATAACGTTCATTTTATGATTTTTTTAGATCATTATGGAAATTCTCGAATATTCCACACAAAGAGGAGAATTTAAATTACTTCACGTAGAAGAATATTTACATCAATACGTAGACAATAAGTGGACTCAGAGTTTTTTACCTTATGCCGTTCCCATGTCAATTGCATACATAATAATTACTTTTTCTTTGCAAAATTATATGAAGTCCAGGCCTCCTTTCCAGCTTCGTTGGCAACTTGTCATCTGGAATATACTACTGGCGGCATTCAGTATTTGTGGCACTTTAAGATTGCTTCCAGGGTTGTGGATTTTAATTCGAGAGTTCGGATTTACGTTCTCCGTGTGTAATCTCAGCTTTTCATTAAAATATCACCCGCTTGCATTCTGGATGTCTTTATTTACATGGTCAAAACTCATTGAATTCGGAGATACAATGTTTATTGTCCTTCGTAAACGTAAGGTCATATTTTTGCATTGGTATCATCACGCTTTAACTCTGATTTCAATATGGTATCTTAATTCCAATGAATCGTCCAGCATATATTGGTGTATGACGATGAACATGTTTGTACACAGCTTCATGTATACTTATTATGCTGTGATGGCAATGAAGGTAAAAGTACCTGTCTTTATTGCAATGACCATTACTATAATGCAAATTGCTCAAATGTTTGTGGGTTGTTTTATTAATTTATTAGCCACATACATGTATTATAGCGGAAAGTATTGCGAACAAACCAACACGGCTCTATTGTTGTTTAATGGCATGCTTTTCTCTTACGCTTGGTTGTTTTGTCGCTTCTTTCGAGATTCATATTTGAAGAAAACAAAACCTTCAAACTTGCTTCATCAAAAATGTCATTAATACAAGCGTTAGAAACGATAAATGTTCTTGTTATAATAAAACGATTATTATTTTATTTGAATATTATGTAGAATTGTCATAAATCATATTTTATCGTTAAATATTCTCTTTTAATTAATTAAGTATATATTCAAGTTGATTTCATTGTGGATTGAAAACGAAATATCATCATAGGGACAAGTCTGTTTAATGAATTTTTGTATTAGGATAATGTTTTATTTTATGGAATTTTTAAATTTATACATTTGTTGTAGTTGAACTTACTAAATTTCATCAAATAAAAATATAATCTATTGAATATTGTCAGAATTTATTACTTAAGTTTCCGAGAACTGAATAAGCAACTGAAAAATATTGATGGTTATAGGTGTAGGAGGTGGGGAGATAGAAAAGATTGTGTGTCCTACCTCTAGTAGGATCGGATTTTATAAAGATTTTACTCGTTATTAGTATTTACAATTATTAGTTTTTTTTTTTTTTAAATAAAACTCGTCCCTCCCTCAAAATTAAACTTTCTGATATTTTTAACAATTTATTATATAAAATGTTTTTTGATAAAATATCATAACAGATGGCGAAACACACAGTTTTAAATGTTATTGCCGGGAAAGTTAGCAAACTCGTCGGTGGTTTTTTATGGTTCATTTTAAAATAAATTTGCTTCCAGGATAAAGAGAAAGTTGTATGTCATTGAAACAAGTTACGTATTGTAAATTAATTTTAGTCACATATTCTGTTTTAATTTACACATTGATCTATCACTCGTATTGATGTTACAATATTCCTCTAGAAGTTTTCTACCAACCTTTCTAAATATATGTAGGACTTAGTTCCATTTCTTTTTTAGTCGTATGCAATCTAAGTCAAACTACATATTGTGTAGTGGTTTCATGTATGTTTCTCGTATCATTCATTTATCTTTTTGAGGTCTTCTTTTTACATATATATAGTATCTAGTACATTTTCTACTCTAGTCTAATTAGTTAACCTTTTTATAAGTTCTTGCTGAAGCCTGTGTAAGGTTTTTCAATTCGATTAAATTCAACTGGAACTGATTTTTGTTGTTTATTGATTAATAATTGATTGAACGCATAAAACGGACAATTTCTTGTAAAAATAAAACTACAGAACTGATCAAAACTTTTATTACCTTACAATTACATATCTTTAACGTACAGTGGTGGGAACAGCGGTACACGTGTTGTATCTGTACTAGAAAAAATGTTCGTTTTTATAAGCTAGTTTACATGTTATTGATTTGCAAATCTATTATTGAATGTATAATAAAAGCTTTTGTAAGCAACATTTTTTATAACTTATTTTTTTATTATAATGAAAGAATCAAATTAATTAACTCTGTTATAGTTTAAACAAATGCTGTAATGAATAACTAATCTAGTGTAACAACAGACGTCTATTATTAAGGCATCTAAAATAAGGGGGGTCGTTTCATAACGTTGACGTTATCACAGGCCAACGTATCGGGCTGATCTGTACTGATATAAACTTGTATTTGTAATTTCAATTAAAAGGCAGACAGTATTTTTTATAACATGGAAAAAAATTTGAAATTACTAAGACTTCTTCAGTGCCATCAAATTAAATCATCAGGAACAAGCCAAAAACTGTATTTATTAGTTTAAATAAACTCGTATTCCATTACAAATTGTATAAATTAAGCTGCTTAAATTTCATCACTGTATTGACTTAACTATTTCTCGAAATTTTTCACAACATAATTGAGCTGCAATTTGGAAAACTGTAGACCTATGAACACCACAGTCTTCTGTCTGTCTGTCCATCATTAATCTCGAGAACTAAGTCAGAAAGATAAAATCCGAGAAGAACAATAAATAACAAACGTCACAATAAACAATTGCTCGTTACAAATATATTTTGTTAAGAATTTCAGAACTTTCACAATAAATATGATTCTACTTTATTATATAGTACCGTATTTCACGATGGCGAATAATATTTTATAAAATGAATATATATAGAAAATAACTTTTGTTATTCTCCGTAAAGATAAAGAGCAATTATTATAATAGCCTTCTTTCTAAACAGAACAAAATAAATATCAGTTATTATCTTGTTTTCATTTATAGTGATTTAGTCACGATATCAAATGAAAACAATACAAATCAAACACGTTTTTTTTTTCACTCAGCAACCAGAGTGTGGTAAATTTCGAAATTCGATTTGTGTTAAGTAATGTAAATTCCATTTAATCTAAATTAATTAATAAAATATATAACAAAAAGATATGAAGTGTATGTACTTGTTTTCGCTTAATTTACAAATGATTTTTCTACTGCATTAAAAACTAAAATCATATTTCAGAGCTCTTTATGTAAATAAATAACAGTTTATAAAAATCGTATTAAATTCTTATAAGCAATCATAAAAGCAGATACATGTGTACAAATGCGAAATATTATTTCGTGTATGATTTAAAATTCTAAACAACTGATATTCTTTACGATTGTAAATCAAATGCGGTTATGAAATGTCTGGTTTACTTATTATTAATTTTACATTGTACGTTCATTCCAGACATAAATTGATAGTGTACAATCAATTTATGTCTGGAATGTACGTACAACGTAAAATTAACGTTTAATAAATTCATTCCAGACATAAATTGATTTATGTCAATCAATTAATGTCTGGAATTTATTGAACTTATTGAAATTTGTATTGAACTGGTATTTATTGAAATTAAGCGTTAAAGGAAGATTGTAATTTTATAGTGTTTGAAATAATAAGTAATTTTCTTTCTTTTCTATTAAGTCACAGTGAAAAACACGAGTAAACATTTAACTAGAAACAGAACCAGGTGCAACATGCTGTTTTCACGTTTCTTTCAAAGATTTCTTTCTTGTGCATTAATAATAATTTTACTTATGCGAAATAGGAGTAATAAATAAAAACACTATATCGAATTCGTCAATTTGAGAGAACGTAAATATCAAAAATATTTCATCTGTTTAAACGTTAATATCATTATATATTGTTTCTCTGGTTAAATGAGTATAATATCGATCATTAAAGTCTGATAAGCGACTCTGGCGAATCTGAATATAGAAGTAAATTAAAATTATATATATCGTTTCCATAACTACAATAAAAATAAACAATGTCTAATGTATTTATATCATACTGTCTTTACGAAAGAGAAAGTTCTTCGTCGTCCGGTGTAAAGGAACGATGAATCTTCTCCTGTTTGTCTCAGTTTTCGTGAATTTCAATTATATTTTTTTGAATGGAGGTAAGAATTATTAATTTCAATTAATATAAATATTATAAAACAAATTCTATTTCTTAATTTTTTCTATTTTACTTCGCGATTTTAATATTGAAATTAAACATAGAAGAATAGTAATTAGAAACCGCTGATAATCGTTAAAATTGAAATATCGTTACATCATAAAATAACGAGTATTTTCGAATAAATGTAGAAAAGTAATAAAAAAAAACAGTAAAATCTAGTTTACAAACCATAAATAAATAATTTTATGATTTCTAATTTATATTTTTACTGCTTTAGTTCGTAAAAGCTAAGTTAAAAAATTTTTAAATTAAGTAATTGACTTTAATCCTAAAAACTAAACAAAATGGAGGATGTGTACCAGCCACAATATCAGCAAATATCTTATATTTTTACTTATTTAACACGGGAAATAATTAATTAAACTTTAATTAATGGTATTAAAATTAATTGCCGTTCAATGCACATAAAGTACAGTTTGAACGTAATTTAGTGGTAAAATTATGGTAATCATTGCAACAGAAAAAAATAGAATTATACAAAATTTACATTTTCTGAAATATAAACTGAAAGAAACTCAATGTTAAAATTCTATCATCAATTTTAACATTGGAAATTATTTGAAATAGTGCAGTTTATTGAAATTTTCCTTGTGGGTGGTTTTTTTTATTGCTCTCAGCTGCCATTTTGTAATGAAAGCACTTTTGCATGCAACAGCCATATTGCTGATGATGTTGAAAAATGGTTTAATTCAAAGATATGATAAATAGAGAGGTTGCGGCCGTCGTATTCAGCCTAAAACGTGAACGGCGGACGGTCGAGCGCAGCCATCTGGCAATTATAGACGGTCGATAATGGCGTTCGCTATGTCCAACATGGGGGGGGGGAAATGTTCGGTTTAAACTTCTTTTTTTTTTTTTTGTATTTGGGGTTATAATTACGAATTATTTTATGAAAATAATGATAAATTAAGCATTTGCAAATAATATCGTAAAGAAACACGATTTTAATCTAGAAATTGTTTGACTATTTAATTTTTTAGCAAGTGATGCGAATTGTTTATAGAATTTACACATATTTGTCTTCATGATACCTTATCTTAAAGTAGGTTTGTTCTTCCACGGCATCTTCTACCATCAATAGCGTAATACGTTTGTAAATTTTTTAAAAATTAATTTTCCGAGCTGCTTTCGAATTTACATAAGCCACTACTTTCGTCGACAAAAGTACGAGGTAGTCCTATCACAGGGTAGGGAACACCTCGCTAATTAAAAATAATTATTTAGTGTTATTAAACATTCTATAAATACTTTAAAATAATTTAATTTGTTTATTTACCTTAGCTGGTAACACTCGATGTTAAATATATTTTGCATTATTTTAAACAAATCGTTAATGCGCGACGTTCACTGAGTAACGTGAACGTGTGCCTCAACGATTTTTCTTGGAGTTAAAACGTAAACCGTGCACTTGTTCTTGAAGTGTACAAATAACGTTTGTACTTTGGCCGCAACCTCTCTAACAACTGAATCAGAAAAATTCAAGATTGACAAATAATAGAGAGGTTGCCGGCGAAGTTTTCATCTCTGAAACGTGAATGTAAGCCTAGAAGTTTTACAATGGTTTTTGGAACGTCGAGAATAATTTAAATAACGTTCCAAACGCCATTGTCAAACTTCTAGGCTTACATTTGCGTTTTAAAGATGAAAACCTCGCTTGCAATATCTGT